ACTCGAATCATAGGGTTTCCGAACGGTGGTGCGAACTAGATGTTGCAACCCTCCGCCGTAGGTCACCGAAACCCGCGTCAAATCCAGGGTTTCCTGTGCGACAGGGATTTGCAACCATCCCGGTATTTTGCAAATTCGTGCGTATGACACCGAACCGAACCGCGAGAGGCAGATGGGGAAGGTGAAGCAGTGGCACAACACCGAGGACCCGGAGGCAGAAGCGGTTTGTTTGGCTTGGCTTTTTGTAGGGGGGGCCAGGGATTGAGCAGTAATGTCTAATTAAAATAATTCCAATTGTAAATAGATACTTTAAATGGATTAAACAAAAAAGCAACGGGGAAACAAAACAACAACAATTTCTTTGGAACAGTAGAAGTAACAGCAAGTAGAGGGAAGCCAGGAAACAGGTGCCCAACATGTGGGTCCTCGAATTGTTGAGAACCCAAGTTGATCGTCCTTGGACAAAAAGGTTGGGGACTTAGAAAGCGACGTGGGCATAGCCCACTTTGACATCCCTCACTGGGTGGCATGTTCGTCACCCTGCGAGTCATACAGCAGTATGGGACCATTCCCATTTCCTTTGGTGGGTGTAATCGGGAGAATGAGCGGAGCAGACACATTTTTTTTTCAAGCAGTCGGGTGTGTGTGTGCATTGTCACCTTTGCTTGCCCTGCAAATCCAAGATGGAAACAAAGAAGCCCTCCCCCCCCTTCCCATCTTTTTCGGGGACAGGAGATCCCTCTACAACCGGCATTTGTTTACTTCCGTGTTCAGTTTTGCTCAAAAAAGGGTGGGTAAAGTCTTCATGCTTCCGGGCCCCCTTTTTCGGCTTGTCTTTTCAATGGGCCCTTTTCAGGTTGGTTTAAAGGGAATTTAAAACGACAACTGCATTTCGCGAAGCCGCAGGTGGACAAGGCGGTGCATGGCCTGGTAGCTCGGAGTCGAGGTTGACCGCACGGCTTGGAACTTTGGGCGCTGTTTGTCTTCCTTTTCTGGCCCACTTCGTGGATAGCTGCGGTAATTCTGGCCTTCATTTTTGGTGGCCAAAGAAGAGGTCGAGAACCTGTATGGGTGCGGCAAATAGCCTCCCTTTTTGGAGCCCATGCTTGCCCTGTGTTTTGCTACCTCGGAAAAGGCACGTGGCGAATCCAAAAAGGATCGGATCAGAGCGCATGGCATGATTTTTCTGGCCCATCCCCAGATTACGCCATGACCTTCAACATCATGGAGTATGAGAAGGCCGGTGTCATTTGTTTGCCAGGTCAGTGAACAGCGCTGTGCAGAACCATCATTGTCCAAAGGGGCATGTAGCTCCATTTTCTCTTGGGTACAGTTGGGCCTTCCGGGGGCCTTTCTGCGCTTTGGCTTTCGCTTTTCAGCCGCAGGCGCGGTGGAAGCCCAAAACGCCCCAAGACTTCAAGAAGGACCTCACCAGGCCCGCGGGAAGTCGAACCATTCGGGGTTCAAATTGCCACGTTCTGTGATGGGTTTCAGGTGTGGGCTGAGGTGTTTCTGCTTTCCCATCTTGCATAGCATGGGAGCACAGCTGGAGTGGGCCCTGAGTGGGTGTGCAGGTGTCCACTAGTTGTGAATGAAGTAGTCACGGTAATGACCCATGCTGGTAGCGCAAGGGTGGCGTTCCGTGGTGCAAAGAGGTTCCGCCGGTCTCTTGAGTTGTTCGGGTCGAAGATGTTTGCTGTCAGCCTTTTGCCCGTAAGTCTCGTTGCAAAAGCATAGCGACGGGCATTTGCTGCTGCTGACGCTGGTTGTGTTGTTGTTTTGGTTGCTGCTGGTGTTGGTTGGTTGGCTGGCCGGTCTTTTGGTTGGTTGGATGGCTCTGGTTGGTTGGTTGGTTCTTCCGGTTGCTCTTGCCTTGCCTTGTTTTGGGTAAGTCAGGTGAAAGAGGCGAGCTCAGCTCCCGTGAGGCAACAGCACCTGCGGATGATGCGGACCTATGGTCAGGCCTCTCCGCATCAAGCCCTTTTTTTTCTCCGGGGTCCACTGAGAAGTCCAAGATGTTGAGGGCGTCTCAAAACTATTTTTGGGGGATGTTTCCAAGTTTCCCCTTAATCCCAGTTTTTGAGGATGTTGTTTGAAGGGACCTCGGAAAAAAATGAAGCATCATGGACTGCCAGAAGGACCCACCCTCCACAAGACGATCTCTTGTCTTTTTCGGGGGGGGATCAATTTTCTGCAATGCATCATTTCGCGTGGGCACACAATTCTGCGTTTTTTGTTTGTTTATTTGTTGCATATATATATTATATTGTTGGGGGGAGCTTTCCATAGTCAGTTTGTCAGTTTGGCTCCTTTCCCATGCAGCCACTTGACAAGATCCGTTGACTGCCCCTTGAGGGGTGGGGTTCTTTGTCCAAATCGGTTTAAAGCAATGGCCAGCCTCTTTCCTCCATTTTTGGAACCTTCAGAAGGGGCAGTTTCAACGGACACCATTGGTGAATTGAAGCTTTTGAAGGGGAAATCCAGTGACTCCTGCTTTTCTGTAGCTGGATGATCTGCTCTTAACTCCTGGTAGGAAAGGCCGAGGTTGGTTGACGAATGGGCTGTGGAATCGCCGATTTCTGCGACTCCAGGGGGTAAATGAGAAACCACCCCCTGACCAAATAGCGGATAAGTGATGAAGTAGTTGCACAGGAAGGGTGAATTCAACAACGGGCATGTACAACCGCTGGATTTAGCGTGATAAGAATGTGGACCTCCTACTTAGCACCCAGAGCTTCTTTTTCTCATGTTTTGTTGTGTTTTTTTCTCTTCGGGGGGAGGGGGCCCCTTTTGCTTGGAATCAAAGGGACACCAACAGTTGAGACTCAACAGCCATTGTTCTAGGGGTCTCCTCCCCATTCTTTCCGGGGATCCGAATCTTTTCAGGAAGCCATCAAAAACCCAGGGAAACAGATCCGGTTGTTGAAAAGGAACGATGCTTGAAAAGAATGGGGAGTCAACCCCTCGAATTGTAGGGGGGTTACCCGTTGTCCGTTTTCCCCTTTGAGGTCGTACCCCTAGGCCCAAGATGCGATTCGCGGAAGGATGCCAATTTGGTGCGGGCCAAGAGCAACCTCACGGACGGCCCCGTGAGTGTCGAGCTGCTGCCCGGGGCCCCGGGGGCCGGAAACTGGAAAAACGGACGAGCCGAGTCAACTAAACCTGGGTGGCTCGTCTTTTTTTGGGGGTTCTTAGTTCTTGATTGAAGGAGGCCACAAGTCAAACGAAATCCATTTTCTGGAAGGGGGGGGTCCCCGAAAAAAGGACACCCCAACTCACTCACTTGCCAGAAGCGACTGACCTTTTGGTGTCGCCTTGTTGGTCAAATGTTTTAGTCACTGCCCCCCAAAGGTGCACCTTTTAGCTCTGGTTCCTTTGGGCAACTGAGCAAACAGATTCCTTTCAACATGTGAGTATATTTTCTTTGGCTCCATTTTAACCAGGGACGTGACTAGTCTGAAACTCAACCTTCCAAACGATTTGTGAAGTTTGGCCCTTTCAGAGCCTTGACTCTGAAGAGCCATGTGGAACCACAGAAATTCGCGGGTTGGTGCGGGGCTTCTCTAGTTTTTTGGGGGTAGGTCCTTGGGGAGCTGCTTGATGGTGATTGGTTTAGATTTCAAAAACTCAAATATATATATATATATATATTATGCATACTATATTTCAAGGGCATTAAACTAGAGGCAGAGAGCCTTCTTTCCAAGCTCCACCTTGCCGGGTTTTTGGCCCTCACTGTCCCTCCTCCGGAGCCTGTCGCTTGAGCTTTTGTGGAATGGCGTCTGGCTCTGGGCTGGCTTGCGGGATGTGTTCTACCCAGTTGCCGTTTCTGGTTCAACTTCGTTTAAAGAGGGGCTCCCTCCACCTGCCCCGACCTGTGGTGACCTACGCGCACCCAACATCTCACGAACCATGCGACGCGTCCGTCCGCTGTGTTCTTGAGTCCCGCTGCGAGGTCGGACCTTGACAGCAGCGAGATGCTGCATCCGAAGGTGTGGTCCCCGAGGTTCGACATGATGGCCTGGTCCTTAGTCTTCGGATCCATGCGGTCCGCTGGCGACCAGCCGTGACCAAGGCGAAGGTGGCACGTACGAGCACGTCTGCCTATTTTATGGCGAGCTCACTTGGCATTATAACGAGCTCACCTTCGTAAAGGTCCTCAGAGATAAGCTCATGTATGGAGCAACTCATCCACGAGCAAGCTTGTGTGGGGGATCGGGTCAAGCGCTCCCACCCCTCGGCTCAGGCCACTCGGGAACCAGAACGGAAATATGTCAGCGCCCTAGTCCGGGGTTCTGGCTCGTGGAAAACGTGGGTTCAACAGACGGGCGTATGCGGCGTAGGTTTTTGAGGGTACCCTTTTCACCTTGGTTTGCAGGGAAGCCGAAGGGAAAGCCATCATGTCTTGGGCTCCCTGATTTTGACATACCCAGCTGAGCATGCCTAGAGAGGACGAAAAACTCTTGAAAGGAGCTTCGAGTTGTTGATGGAGCTCAAGCTACCGTGCATGCGCCGTGCCATGTGCTTTCTAAGCTTATGACTTGCAGTGGCAGCCCAAATGTTGGGCCCACTTCCCAGCTCGTCCCACGGCTCTGAAACAACAAGCACACTGATGGGCAGGCTGGGAAGAAATTCGGACAGTTGCACCCCTTTTTCTGGTGTTGGGTCCCATTTGTGTTTTTTTTCCTCCCCCTCAAGCTACCGCCTTTCCCCTACAGGTCACCGTGGCTGACGTGGGAAGTTCGGGATCCTCCGGATCCCTCGTATTTGCCCTCCAAGCGAAAAAGCCGCCTAGATAGCCAAGTTGCTGCATTGTGCAGGCACTGTTGCTGGTTTTGGGGGTTTTGAGTGGATGGAAAGAAGCGATCGCCGGCGATCCAGGTGGGGCATTTCTCGGGTCGAGCCTCGGATCCAGGCGGAGGCCCCGGCGCGCCTCAAAGAGGCCAAGGCCAAGTTCAAGCGGGAGCTCCGCGCCGGGGAGTCCTGGACGGACACGGGAGGCGCGATCGAGCGGCTTGCGCGGCTTGCGCGCATGCGCGTCTCGAGGTTTCTAGGGGGGGGGGACTGAAGCGGGCACGGCATGGCACGGCATTACGGGCATCCCAAGATTGTGAGCCAGGGGAAACATATTTGTGGCACACTGGCTATAGGTTCGGAGTTGTTTTTGCGACTTTTCTCTGTGACGCAGTCCTAGTGACTACTGGGCGACTCGAGATCTGGATGGTACTGGCTGAACGGTCGGGGACCTCGCCTCACCTGGAAGCAAAGCGTCGAGCCGTCCCGCGGGTCCCGCAGATCTCCATGTGTCCGGCGTGGCTCGAGGCGCAGGCCAGTCGCTCAGCCAGAGCAAAAGCAAAACACCCAGGCCAATAGCAGAGCCGGAATTAGTTTGAAGGGCCCGCAAGCCGAGTTGGGAGATTCATTTGGGGCTTTGCAAGCCTAGGGGGCGCCAATGTTTGGCTCCTTTCGGGAGCAGCCATCGTCTTTGGCCCCTTTTGGACAAGGTTCGGGGGGCAGAAACCAAGAGGACCATCAGTCAGAGTGCATGGAGCCAGCTGCGCTTCCACGCCGGGCCCTTGGTCCGAGCCCAGGCCCGGGGCCGCGTGTAGGTTTCCTGTAGTTTTCGGTCCATGGATTGGTCTGGTTTCATGATGGTGCTAGTCATCTACCCCTCCTGCCCACTAAAATGGATCCGTTCCGTTCCAGAGGAACGGAAACCACCAGAGGTTCCAGTTTGAAGCAAGATGGCAAGATGACCCCTTTGTCAGGTTCCATGGATGAGAGGGTACCAGCGAATTTAAGTATCTCAAGCCGCATGGCCCAGGGGGTTCAGTGATTGGTCCGATCATTCATGAGGGGGTTCCAATCTGTTTGGTCATGTTTGGTCAGGAATCGCCCCTGAGCAATAGGGGGGCAGGCAAAACATGAAGAGGTCGTCTTGTCCTTGATCCGAAGCCAGTCCACACAGACAGCTGTGATCTTTGGGAGCCGACGCATTGAAGCTTACCGTGTGCCATGCCGAGTGATTCCATGTATACCAAAAGGAGAACGGATGGATTCCACTGGTCGATTCCACTCATTCCCAGCCACATCCAGTCCAGCCAGGAGTTGTGCTGCGCCCTGCGCATCTCAGAGGAGAGCGAACCAATGGCCTTGGTATTGGATCCTGATGGTTGGTAACTCCCAACATGAATCATGTCCAGAGGGTCCCCAACTAAAACTCGCCCAAATGTCGCAGACTGTGGCCCCCGCAGTTTTTGCAGTTTTTGTTTAAACGTTATTTTCTTTGAGTGGTGTCTCTGGTCGCCCTCCGCAACCAGGAGAGTCGATCGGGGCACATGCTAGCTGGGCGAACTGCAAACTTGGCTGCCGTTTGGACCTTTCTCGCCCCGATGTTGGGACTCCACGAAACCCGCACAAAAGGGGCGACTGCGTTTGGGGGGCCACCGAGCCCCTCCCTGCCTGCAGGAGGCACCACTCCTGGGCACTGTCGCGGACCAGCCGCTTGGGAAAAAGGTCACCATGCGGAAGGCGTGCAGGTTTTTGGGGGCGCTTGGGTTTCAGCACTTGGGCTTATCCGCCACCCTAGGGCTAAGACTTGCTTCACATGTCTTGCGGCAGCCTTTTGGTTCCAAGCTGATGAGTTCGGCGCCTGAGGCTGTGGCATTTGCTGCGGGGTGTGCGGGTGCTAGGCAGCTCAGGCGGGAGTAGCTTTGGAGCTAGGTGCCGTGTGAAAAAATATAGGAAGTCTCAGGCAATGAATGAAGTGCCGTTTGTTTCAGTGCCTTTCTTCGGCAATAAATGGCCCTTTTTCCTTTTCTTGGGTGGCCCCCTCTTAATCTTGCGGCATCTGCCGCAAAGCCGTCGCCTGCCAAAGAACGGGACCTAGCAGAGTAGCAGATGCGGCAAAGCCTTCATGAGGATTCTTCCGTGAGAAGATTGAACTTTCGAAACCCTCTGGAGGCTTAACTGGTGTGCCGTGATGGGAGAGCCTTCCCCCAAAGAGCAAGGCCAGGGGTGACCTGTGATGCAAGGTGAAGAAACCATGAAAGCTATAACTTGTGCACAGCGTAACGTATCCGAAATCAGTTTGGGGTAACTCGGGGCAACTCACAAAGTTCCCAAATCGAATTCCTTGACTAGCCTTGACATATTCATTCAAATCTGACTAAAAGTCTCGTCTCTTTTGCCGCCACTAGGTGGCTTACTTCGCATTCCGGGGGGGGGGGGGGCAGTGGAAGAACAATTTCATAGCTTCCTTGCAGCTGGGAAAAAGCACGTGCATAGTGTACATGACTATGAATTTTAATAAAATAGCCCTCCAAATTGGTTGATAAACATAAATCCCCACCTAAATGGTGTCCACCAAAGGGTCCCGATTTTGACCCCCAGCTGGCCCCAGCTGGCAGCGGTTTTTTTTTCTTGGACGCGAGGTCCAGACGGCCCAAGCCGCGAGCGAGGCGAGCGAGCTCCGAAGGCCCGGGGTCCCGGGTCCACCAAAGGCCAGCCTTTGGCTTCCTGAACACTCTTGGTTCATTCCGGGTCCCCTGCCTCCCCCCCCCCCTGAAAAAAAAAGAAAAAGACAAGACCTGCCTCCCCTCCCCCCCCCCCAAAGAAAGAGAGCAACTCAAAGAGTCAAAGAAAACCACACCACGCTCTCTGCCCGAGGCTCCTGGCAGGCGCCGGGCCCGGCGCCTCGCTCCAGGCCGCTGCGCGTGATCATCGCCGGGGGCGGCCCGGGGGGGCTAGCGCTGGCCTGTGGCCTCGCGGACATCCAGGGCCACTCGGCCGAGGGCCAGCGCTTGAGCGCTTGGCTTTGGGGGGTTCAACCATGTTCAACCCCCCCAAAATGTTCTAGGGGCAACACGTCAGACGAACTTGGCCGAAGTCTCTCTTGACCAGAAATAAATAAATAAATAAATTGCATTTTTGCGCGGTTTTGCTCTTTGTTTTAAGAATGTGGCCCTTTCAGCTGCAGGGAGTTATGCATGTGTGCGCGGGCAGGCCAGCCGGCCAGCGGCCGGAAAGGCAAGCGTAAATGAGGAGATTTGTGCAAGAGTTATGGTGAAACTGTTGGCCCCACCGTCCAAGTTCGACACGTACGCGGTTGATCCCATGATATCCAAACAAAGGATAGCAAATGCGACTGAATACAATGGTGCCCGGCACACCCAGTTTTCCATGGCATGTGATTTCGTTTCCCGTTTCCCCGTTGAATACATGAATTAATTTCTTGCACGTTGTAAATCAACAGGCGCAACTTGTGAGCCAAAGGCAACAAAATTGTACACTATATGCCACTGGAATACTAGAGATTTAGCGATCACTGAACACGACGTGGTTTTTGTTGGCTTACCAGTGTCGTTGACCTGTGTTGTACTGGTGCTTTCAGCATCTGCGGGTTCTGTTCCTGGTGGAGGCACTGGCTTGGGCCAAAGCGGTGAACCGGTCTCCCTTTCCCTGCGGTCATTGACTGGACTTTGCCGTATGTTTCGCAGTCCGGGCAGGAGAATGGTAGAACATCAAGCTGTCATTTGCTCATCCGCACGGTGGCGAGAACTTGGGTTGGCGCTACCGTTTGTGCCGCAACAAGCTGTGCATGGACAACACCCTGCACCAGCTTGCCCTACTAGTAATTACAGGGTTTCATTCATCCCAACCGGTGCCAGAAGTCGAACACATAGGTCCTAGGCATGGCCAGCTTTGGTATCATAGAAAGAAGGTCACGAGTTTTCACCAGCCCCTCGCCTGCTTTTTGGGGTCCGCGGCGTGTGCCGTAAAGTCAACCATGGGGTCAATCCAGAGGACCGTACTAATCAGGCGAAGGAAATTATGTCTATGAGGGGCTCCTCTGGCTGGGGGGCTCGCGGACGAATCCGAAGTCAATGCCCCGATTTAAATTTGAGGGACTTGGATGGGATAAGACTTGAAACTGGATGGCCTGGTTCAAAGCCAGTCTTGCACAATGTCTCCCAAAGGCTTTGGCCCAGATGGGCCGCAAAGCTTGTGGCAGCTATGGATGTGGAGGCCAAAACAGGAGGGCACCCTGAAACAGACACCCAGAGCTTGACACAGGCTTTTCCCAAACAGAAAAAACCAAAGAAGCTTGCGATCGCTGTGAAATGGGCAGGGAAGGAGAAATTGAAGGGCTCAAAGAAAACCCATCCCCGAGTTGGTTTCCTCGCACATCAGGTTCATTCGGTTCATTCCGTTTTTCTCCCTTTTTTCCCCGCCTCTTTTTCTCGCAAGCAAAAGCACCGCCAGTGGATCGACCCCCGCGGCGTTTTGAGGTTTGGAGATCCGGATCCTGGAGGGCCGGCCGGAAGTGAAGACAGGAGAGCGGGGAGTGGGGAGCGGGGACTGGCGTGAGGCACACCGGCGGGTTGCGTTCCAAACCCTACGATGTGCACAACTGCAAAGGGGCCCTGCTTGGGGCTCCAAATTTTACCCGGCTTAGCGTACCAGACAACAAACCAATGACCTGGCTGCTTGGGATTTGCTCATTTGCTCGTTGGTTGGTCCAAAAATGCCATCCATGTCCTTCTCCATTTGCTCCGGGAAAGCCCAGTGAGCGCCAATTTTGCGCAAGCTATGATTGTTGAGGAGTTTTCTCTCCCAAATGGTGGGACATCAATCCCCACCTAAAACTGGCCTGTTCAAAGTTAGTCCTGATTCCTTACGCAATAATTTTGTCTGGGGCTTTTCTTTGGGGATTATGGAAAATCGGATTGGCCAAGCCTGCATTCTGAAAAGCCCAGAATGATGTCCAGCAAGTTTTTAGTGAAACTCCACTCGCATATTTTGACCGTGGTGCTTGAATTCATGATGATCATTTTGCATATGTCCGCGTCCATGCGAGGGCAGGTTTTCACTTGGCAAAGGCAAGTTGGCTACATGGCCGTGGCTCAACCACATGTCCAAAGTGGCACCATGTGGGACAAAAACCAGCGGTTTGCCGTAGCTCTTTGATTTTGAGCCACACCCCCATGGCAGGTGTTTT